CCGTTTATATTATACATTATATTTGTATCCGTTTTTGTGTCAGGTTGAGACAAGTTTGATTTAAATTCTAGACCTGATCCTAACCAATAGAATGTGTAGTATAATTTATTATCAAATGGTTTTCAATTAGGATTTTAATTAGTTTTCTTATAATTGATTACTATTTATTATCTATTGGTTGAATAAATGTTTCAAGTTATAAAAATATAAAAAACTACATAGGTGAATACAATTAAAGGTATACTGTCTCTGCTGATCTAACTATAGACTATGTAATTTTAAGTATAAGGTCTAAGTTATTAGCGTTCACTTGAAAACAGGCCAATTATCAGACAAATGAGAAATATAATACAGAACATTTTTTATATTTTTGCTAAATATAGCCTTATAAATTGTCTAGTAAACATTCATGAATGTTCGTATACAAGGGAAAATCTGTAATTTAGAGACTTGTTTAGGCTAAAATCTCGTTAGAATTTGATAATCGCTTTTATTATATCATTTTAATTAAATGATCTATAATCTATGTTTATGGGCTTAATAATGGTCATACCATGAACTTTAAATGTAAATTATTATTTTCTTGGAAATGATGTCATTAAGCTATTAATACATTGTTTTGTGAAACATACGCTACTCCTTACTAGGGCGTTGTACGCGTGCCGATGTCGGAGTTGTATTTTGTCTAATTTCACTAAATTAATAAGGTTGTGTGAGATTCACTTGTTTTGACATAATGTTTGCCTTGTCCTTTGAGGTATATCAGAATAGTACAGGCCCACAGCGTTTATCTGAATCAGGATCTCAATGCTTTGACTAGTTGTAGGCCTAGAGCGTTATTAATCTGCCTCAGAATCTCGATTTATGGCTGGTTGTTTTTGTGGAAGATTGGTTTGTGCTAAGTCCACTAAGTGGTTCGCTCGTTGGTTTGATTTAATTGTGTAATTTCACTAAATTAATAGGCTGCGTGAGATTAATCTGATGTTTGATTGTTTTGTGGTCAAAATTCTATGCATAATTTTGATTCGGTAACATGTCGAGGGGCTAGGCTAACAAGAATTCTTCGTTTCTTTTCCCTGTGTTTGGTTAAATTCACGTTACTCCAGTGATCGTTTACTGTGGTGTTTGAGCTTAGCTTTAAACATAATAACATATGTTTGTTCGTGTTTGATGTAACTCACTTATGCTGGGCGGGAACTATTCCCACTGACCGTAATATTTGCGTTTGTTTCGAAGATCAGCGGATTTCAGTGCATTATACAAGATGTAAGACATGAATTATAGACTGTTATATCCTTTACCGTTACTATACAAACCTAGCAATAAAGAGTTCATGAAATGGACTCCTCCATTATACGACAGGGGTAGATCAATATTTAATAATTAACCACCACCATTGATTCCCTCGTTTCTGCAATCGGCCCTTAATAAAAAATTCCAATTTCAACTTGAAATAGGACAAACAGGACAAATTTAAGTTTATGTTGAACAAAAATCAATTAATTTAAACATGTATGGAAATATGCAGCGCAATTAATGATTGACTTACTCATGTCAATAGGATAGCTACTGTCCGTCTCACAAATTCGATCAATTTAAAGCTGTTATTAACGAATTTTCTACGAACTGAATCAATTGTTAATTCGAATACGCAAACAAACATACAAAAATACATCTGTTGTTTTTTTTTTCTTCTCGCGAGGGACATTTTCGGGTGCACGTATATAGCAAATGTAACGCTGCGATTGTGACGTCATTATTTCGTCGCGCTTCATACAAATAAATGTCGCTGCTTTGTAGCCAATCAAGAATTGACATTGTATTGAAGTTCAGATGCTTCTCGGAATATGTCGACCGGGTTCGAACTCCAACTGAACTTGATGTGAACATGTCGCCAGTAGACTCTTTGTAAACTTACTATGACCGATCGTAGCAACACAGGTGTATCTCTTCGATACTTGTTTTCCAGAAATCACCCATAACAGAATTTGAGTGAATGTTCCAATTGTACTTCATGTGCACGCGTTTAATGTCGCCAGTGGAACCTTATTGAACTAGTGACCGATCAGAGTACAGGTGCATGTTTTCGTAAAAAAATTCCCAGAAGTATCTTCACATAATTCGAACACTCATTCAAAGGATATTATTATTAGGAATAGGGTGGCAGAAATTAGTTTAGGCTCATAGCAAAAAGCTTCAATCAAGAACATCACACTGTATTACGATATAGGCCTATTCTGCTTTAGAACTTTCGGAACCATCTTCTATAAATCCCTCGCATCATGATTAATTTAAAAAAAAATATCCAATCTTGTCGTTCAACTGCCTAAGATGAAGGCGTATCATAATATTATTATTAATTTATGTTGTTTTTGCGGAACAATAACCAGTGCTGTTTAATTACGCATGCGCAAACGAATGTAAAATATCACTTGCTTTAATTGGATTTGAACTGACAGCTTGAGGTCGCAGGCTCGAATCCCGTCGGAAGCATTTCAATACACAATGTATTTATTTATAGGACAACATTTGTTGAGAGCTATGCTGCACGATGTACCCTCATTTCCTTTATTCGAACACTATACCTTTCTTTGATATTTATGTGCACGTATATCTTGATGAACATAGTAGAATGGAGACAAAAATAATAGCATAGCGGTTGACGTTTTTTTTTAAGGATATATGAAATTATTTTATTAAGGCGGTTTTCCACTAGGCGAATTTATTCGCGCGAATCGAAAGCCTCGGTTCATGCGCATGCGCATTCACATTTCTATTGGAGTT